CCAACCTTGTCATTGTGCCTGGGGCCAGGGCTCTCTCTAAGTCTCTTTGAAGCACAAGGAAAATAAACAGCACTGTAGGTCTGTCTGTCTGATACTTGGCTGAGATGGTAGGTCTGTCTGTCTGTCTGATAGTTGGCTGAGATAAAGAGAAGAGGGGGCTTTAGAAACAGGCCACGAGGTCTTTGAAAGTCCCCGTGGTGTTTTGGCTTTTTTTTAAGAGATTTGCTAACTTGGGGCTGAGGCGGCCGAGCAGTCACCTCAGGCCTAGGCTCCCTTAGGGGAGCGGCTTGCGAGATAAGAATGGAATTATTTGCAGAATAGTGCGTTGATCCACATCATCTGAAGGCCTGAGGTCACATCTGTGTCGAGGGATGCAGCTAGAATTCATGGCAGAATGTGATGAATCCCCATGTTGTTGTTTTTTAGCCCTGACCGGATTGCTCAGTGGGTAGCGCGTCGGCCCTCAGAGCGAAGGGTCCCAGATTCGATTCTGGTCAAGGGCGCATACTTGGGTGGCGGGCTCCATCCCTGGCCCTGGTTGGGGCGTGTGCGGGAAGCCACCAGTGGATGTTTCTCTCTCTGTGCCTCCCCCTCCCTTCCACTCTCTCTAAAAATCCATGGAGAAATGTCTTCTGGCGACAGGCTTTTCACATGGGAAAGGCCATGGCAGCGAGCAGGAACGGATTGTTCCCCCCCCACCCTCCTCCACACCCCGGAACAGCATGGGGAGGCACGTGAGCCCCAGAGGCGCTGGGACCTGGGCCAAGGTTGGCTCAGCCTCACATAGCCAGGGAGGTGTTGAAGCAGGAGATGGCACAGAGTTGGGGTTTGACGGCAGGTGTAGGAGGGAGCGAGCGAGAGATGCCGCAGGTGTGCACGGAGGAGGTGAGAGCCTCCAGCCGGTGGGGGACCCGCGAACGTGGGACAAGAACCTGACGGGAGACCCTTCGCTGAAGCAGAATCTGCAGGCATTGCTGATTCAATATTCAGAGTCGGGGAAGGTGATGAAAAGGAATCAGAGGTGACGTCGGCTTTTTATGGAAAGTGCAGCGGAGCAAAGCAATTCAAAACTGCTCACAGTCCTAGCGCCTAGAGAGGATCCTGTCAGTATTTTGGGGTGCCTCCTGGGTAAAGCACAATGTCGGTGCTGTCTGTGCCTCATCTCCAGGTGATAGACACTCAAAGTCTATTTTATAGTTGTTGTTTTTTTTATGTCTTTTATGGTTCTTTTTATTGATTTCAGAGAGGAGAGGAGAAGGGAGAGAGAGAAATAGAAACATTAATGACGAGGGAGAATCATTGATGGGCTGCCTCCTGCACAGCCCCTACTGGGGATCGAGCCCACAACCTGGGCATGTGCCCTTGACTGGAATCGAACCTGGGACCCTTCAGTCCGTAGGCCAACACTCTATCCACTTGAGCTAAACCAGCTAGGGCTATAGTTGTTTTTTTAATATATGTTTTTATTGATTTCAGTGAGGGTGAGAGAGACAGAAACATCAATGAAGAGGGAGAATCCTGGATCGGCTGCCTCCTGCATGCCCCACACTGGGGATGGAGCCCGGGCCTGTGCCGGAACCTCCTGGTTCATAGGTTGATGCTCAAGCACTGAGCCACGCAGGCCGGGCTCGACTGTAGACTTTAGAGGCCAGGTGGGCAGGGGTGCCCTGGGCGGGCTTGGGGAGAAGGCACAGCCTGGTGCACCTCACTCCCACAGGAAGCTTTGCCCTTTCGCTCCTGGGAGGCCCTCCTAACTGCACGGAGACTCCAGACCCCGGTGTGAAAGTGAAATTATGCTCAGGACAGACCACAGCCCCGTGCACAGGAAGCCAGCCCCGGGCCTGGCGGCATCAGATACTCACCCCGCTCGCCCCACTTCCTCCTCCGGAGCCCCGGCCTCCTAGTCACCCCATTCCTTGCCCACATGTTCCAGATGTTTCCAGGTGATAAGCAGGCAGGGCTCCTCCGGTTGCTCCTTCTCTCCTGCGGCTCATTCCTTCACGGACAGTGAACACAGATGTTTATTCTCCCCCCCAAGAACCTTGGAGACGGAAAACCCCGTGGTCTTCCTTGGGGTTCCACAGGCATTTTTAAGATGGGCGGCCTTTCCGTTTTTTTAAGATATATTTTTATTGATTTCATAGAGGAAGGGAGAGAGAGACAAACATCCATGATCAGCTGCCTCCTGCACCCCCCTTGCTGGGGATCGAGCCCTGACCGGGAATCGAACCCGGGACCCTTCAGTCCGTAGGCCGACGCTCTGTCCACTCCCACGGAGCCAAACCGGCAAGGGCGTCTTTTCAGTTTTTACGAGTACTTTCTGTTCACTCCTTGACTGCCCTCAGAGCTGGGCGCTGGCCTAGTTTTGCAGGCATGAGCATCCTGTCTTCAAGGATCGGCGAGGGAGGGCTGTCCCTGACTGGGGTCAGGGTGGAGAAGGGAGGGCCTCTGTTCTGCCCTCTGACCAGGGTGACTCCAGGGGAGGGGTGACCCCTGCGGACGCCAGGGCCCCAGCCCGGAGAGGCCCGGCTGCAGAAGATTACAGAAATGCGTGTGGAGGCTAGACCGTGAAAAGAGGGTGTTTTATGAGGTTGTTGACTGTACTCAGAATTGGAGGTAACACAGCCACGTTCCCCAACGTTAAAGCGAAATGACAAGCTATTTAACATCCCTTATAAAAACCACAGGTTTGCAAATCAAAACCATGAGGTGTCATGTAACGGACCAGCAAAGATTTAAAAGAATGAGCATGCCCGGCCGGTGTGGCTCAGTGGTTGAGCGGCGACCTATGAACCAGAAGGTCACGGTTGGTTCAATTCCCGGTCAGGGCACATGCCTGGGTTGCGAGGGCTCGATCCCCAGTAGGGGGTGTGCAGGGGCAGCCAGTCAATGACTCTCTCTCATCATTGATGTTTCTATCTCTCTCCCTCTCCCTTCCTCTCTGAAATCAATAAACATATTTAAAAAAAAAAAAAAGAAAACCCAATTCGGACCTCCTTCCCTAGCCAGAGGCATTTCTGGGAGGTGCAGAGGTGGGGTGAGCTTCGGGTCTGGCTTAATCTGGGGGTGCAGGCGTGCAACCTGGTCTCTTTCCTGCCTGTGGGTGACCATTGCTCTTCACAGTCTAGTCCCGTGGTCGGCAAACTGCGGCTCGCGAGCCACATGAGGCTCTTTGGCCCCTTGAGTGTGGCTCTTCCTAAGCCTTAGGAGTACCCTAATTAAGTTAATAACAAATATACCTACCTATATAGTTTCAGTTTAAAAAATTTGGCTCTCAGAAGAAATTTCAATCGTTGTACTGATGATATTTGGCTGTTGACTAATGAGTTTGCTGACCACGGGCCTAGTCCTCAGCTTGGCGACACTAAGGCATTGGCAGGAGGTGAAGCTGGTCGCGTAGCACCAGCCCAGGGGAGGGGAAGGTCTCGCAGGAGACAGAACCACAGCCCACGGGGGAGCTGGGAGGCCTGCTTCTCCTTTTCTAAATAGTATGCAGGTCAGAGTCCTTCTGTCAACACATCTTTTATTCGGAAATCAGGTTACCATCTGTTAGGTCACCGCTTGCTTCCATTCCGGCCCTGCGGATCCTCGCGAGACAACTCGATTAGATTTGGGGCATTGACCACGTCATGTCTAAGCGTCCGTAAGTGCTGACTCACACGTTGCATTGCAAACAGATCACGTCACGTGTCCTCCTGTTGTCAGTGAATACACATTCATAGCGGAACGTCTAGAAATCTCAGAAAAAGCCCCCAATAAAAGCCACCTGTGACCTCAGCGGCTTGCTCTACCACGGCTGGCAGTGTGGTCTGTGCGGGCAGCACAGGCTGGCAAGAGGGCACTGGGTGGAGGGAGTCTTGCGGGTCTAGCCCAGTGCCCGCTCTGCCATGGCCGCAACCCCTCAGAGCTTCAGTCCCTCACCTTAACAGTCCACGCCTGCCCCCCAGAAACAAGGGCATTGATCACAAATGTGTGTACAGCCCAGATTGTCCTCTCGACAACCAATCCCTCGAGGGGAGCTAGTGAGCTGGTTAAAAGCTGGGCAGTATTTTTAAAAATATATTGTTATGGCTTGCAGAGAGGAAGGGAGAGAGAGAGAGGAAGAGAGATAGAAACATCAAGGGTGAGAGAGAATCATTGATGGGCCGCCTCCTGCACGACCCCTACTGGGGATGGAGCCCGAAACCCGGGCATGTGTCCTGACCGGGAATTGAACCAACCGTGACCTCCTGGTTCATAGGTCGGTGCTCAGCCACTGAGCCACACTGGCCGGGCCCAACTTTTATTTTTAGTTTCTTCAGTAAAACAGACTTTTTCTTTTAATACAATTTTTATTGCTAAAAATTACCCGAAAGTTTTTCGTGCTACTTCGTTGTGAGTAAACGAAACTTTAACTTTGGAAGCTTCCTTTCGAAAATCTTCTGAACCTTGTTTCTTTCTTTCTTTCTTTCTTTTTTTTTTTTAAATATTTTATTGATTTTTTACAGAGAGGAAGGGAGAGGGATAGAGAGTTAGGAACATCGATGAGAGAGAAGCATCGATCAGCTGCCTCCTGCACACCTCCCACTGGGGATGTGCCCGCACCCAAGGTCCATGCCCTTGACCGGAATCGAACCTGGGACCTTTCAGTCCGCAGGCCGACACGCTATCCACTGAGCCAAACCGGTTAGGTTTGAGCCTTGTTTCTTCATGGTAATGGTTCTGTTGTCACTGTATGAATGCTAGGAAGAACTTCCTCCCCAATGACACCCTCCAAAGTCATTCAGAAGCCGGGTGACCAGAAACGCCGCTGGGAGCCCCGCCCTGTCTGAGGCGAGTCTATGCAGCCGGCCTATTGTGAATAGTGGAAGCCATTCGGAGGGTCGGGCTGGGCCGCACTGTGGATGTCGGGGCTGGTGAACACCTGTGTGTGCGGGCGGGTGCAGGGCGCTCTGTGGGAAAGACAAGGAAACGATTAGGAGGGAAGCAGGCAGCCTGGACGGAGGGAGGGAGACATCCTGTTGGCCCTTCCCAGCAGCACTGGGCGTGAGCAGACTGTTCTTGTCTCGAAGGTCTAGAACGAGGAGCAAATCACAGGGTCTGAGAATTCTGGAATTTTTTCAAGGTGTGCTTTCAAAAAAAAAAAAAAAATCTTTTTTCTGCCCTAGGTGGTTTGGCTTATTAGATAGAGCGTTGGTCCATGGACGCAAGAGTCCCGGGTTTGATTCCGGTCAAGGGCAAGTCCCTCTGTTGCAGGCTCCTCCCCGGCCTTGGTCCAGGCGCGTGGGGGAGGCAGCCAATCGATGTCCTCTCACATGGATGTGTCTCTCTGTCTCTTCCCCTCCCTCCCACGCTCTCTAAAAATCAGAGGGAAAATATCCTTGGGTGAGGATTAACCAAACAAACATACAAGAAAAAAAAAAGGAGTTATTTCCTGAATCCAGCTGTGAATTAGATCAGCCGGCCTCCAGGGACGTGTGGGGACGACAGGCCCCCTGTGCTGGCAGATTGGGGACAGTGGTGGGAGTTAGTGGGCGCCCCTCCCCCACCACTTTTTCCTGAATGGACAAGGATTTCTTTCTTGTGCGGGATGTTAGCCTGTCCTGAAGCGGACCCTGCAGTGTAGTGCTCGTGGGTGGTCCTCCTGTCCCCTTCCCAGGGCCCCCCGTCCTCCCCCAGGCTCCCGACCCTCGCCCTTCAGCGTAGAGGCTGATGCTGGGCCCGCCTGCTGGAGGCTCTCCCAGCGCACATGCCTCGCTCCCATCTGCACTTGGGAGGGGACCTGGTTTTGTGTCTTCTGCTCCCATTTGGCAAAAGGTGTTTTTTCTTTTCAATATATTTCTATTGATTTCAGAGAGGAAGGGAGAAAGAGAGAGAAACATCAGTGAGGAGAGGGAATCATGGATCGGCTGCCTCCTGCAGGCCCCACACTGGGGATGGAGCCTGCACCCCGGGCATATGCCCTGATCGGGAATCGAACTGTGACCTCCTGGTTCATGGGTCGACGCTCAACCACTGAGCCACGCCGGCCGGGCAGGAAGGAGGCTTTGAGAGGTGCAGTGGGGACAGGTGGGGGACAGTCCAGGTGTGTGTGTGTGTGTGGGGGGGGGTCTCAGCCTGACCCATTGCACGAGGTGCAGTTATGGGACAGCAGGTTACAGAATGCCACCTGGGGATTCCCAGCTTCCCTCTGGAAAATTCACAGGCGAGCGTCTAAACACCCACAGCCGAGGCCGGCGAGTCCTGGCTGGGAGGCTAGGTTTGTCCCTGCAGCTACTCACCTCGTGTCCTAGCTCTTCGGGAGGGTTTCTGGGAAATGGAAGGAAGTTTAGTGCCTGGAGAAGCAGGGACGCTGGGCTGTGTGTGGGCGTGGAGTGCGTGCGTGTGCGTGTGTGCCTGTGTGTGTGTGTGTGTGTGTGTGTGTGTGTTCGAGGCCCTGCTCAGTCCGCCTGAAGGCTTGGCATCTGCTGGGTTGGGTGGTAGGTGTGAGCCAGGCCAGCCGCACTCCTAGGCGGGTCAGGCCTCCGTTTCTAGGCCAGCGCTCCGCCCGGTGACGGGCAGCCTTGTGAGTCAGCGGCGGCTGCAGGCAACAGGGACAGGCAGGTTCCCTCTCCGGCCCGGTCAGTCTCCCAGGCCGGGGACACCCTGGCAATGGCACCTAAAGGGAAAAGCCTGGGGAGTCAGAGCCTCTGAAACCCGGCGAGGGCTGCAGAGCCATGAGCCCAGGCCTGGGAGGGTGATGGTCAGCGCGGGCCGATGGCATGACCCCCCCTTCTGTCTTGTCCACCGTTCATTCCCAGCCGGGAACTGCCTTGGGATCCCCCAGGTGACCTACTGCCAACCGAGTGACTCAGGAGAGAGATCTTCCAGATGAATATTTTCTATGACTTTTAATATATATTTTTTTTGTTGATTTTTTTTTTTTGGAGGGAGGGATGGGGTGAGAGAGACATCAGTTGCTTCCTGAATGCATCCCAGCCATGGATCAAACATCCAACCCCAAACCTGGGTATGTGCCCTGATTGGGCATCGAACCGGCGACCTTTTGGTGTACGTGACGATGCTCTGGCCAACCGAGCCACACCAGCCAGGGCTTTCCTGTCATTTGAGCAGATGTTGGTGTGACTCTGGGAGGGTGAGACTTACGTTATCAAAGTTTATGTTCCTTGTCATCAGTCCTAGACAGGACAGGCTGACTCATCGTGTTCTCACCCGGACACTGGAGAGGGAGGACTCCGGGAAGCTGGAGAGAGTCCAGAGGGCAGGGCTGGACGGGGAACAGACCAGAACGCCCTCTCGAACAGCCGGAGGGCCCGAGGGTATTCGCTGGAGAGGACGGATGCTTTTTCTCAGGGGGAAGCCGGGTAGAGTGAACAACATCTTCAAATTATTGAAAAGGTGTTTAAGAAAGTAGATTTGTATGTGCAATGGTTACACCGGCGTGGCTCAGTGGTTGAGCGTCGGTCGACCTATGAACCAGGAGGTCACGGTTTGATTCCCGGTCAGGGCACATGCCCGGGTTGAGGGCTCCATCCCCAGTGGGGGGCGTGCAGGAGGCAGCTGATCCAGGATTCTCTCTCATCGTTGATGGCTCTCTCTCCCTCTCTCTCCCTCTCCCTTCTTCTTTGTGCTGCCCCAGGGAGCTGACAGTGACTATCGCAGGGGCTTCTCTGACTCTGATCATAGCAAGAGGTCAGGACACACTGTATCTGCTTCCGCATCCAGAGTGCAGCCAGCGGGGCCACCGGCCCGTGCAGTGCAGGGCGTGCCGGGTAAATTCCACAGGCGTGACCCTTCCCTGCCTCACGGAGTTAAGTGTGAGGCGTGGGCATCACACAGTTCCGGTGTCTCAACCCTGGCCATGCCGGCGCTGCTCGGAGCCGTCGGTGCGGGAGGGAGGCGTGTGCTGGCCGAGCAGGCCCAGACCCGGGGCTGAGGTTCCCCCTGACGTGAGCCTCCAGAACTGACGTCTCCTTTCTTCCCCTCCCTCCCGCCCCGTCTCCCAAGGTCGGCCTCCGACAGCTGGACATGTCCTTGCTCTGCCAGCTGTACAGCCTCTACGAGTCCATCCAGGAATACAAGGGGGCGTGCCAGGCGGCCTCCAGCCCCGACGGCACCTACGCCCTGGAGAACGGCTTCTTCGAGGAGGAGGAGGAGTTCTTCCAGGAGCCCAGCTTGCTCCTTGACGGGAGGCAGCGGGGCCCGCCCAGGGACCCGAGGGACCCGGCCCTGCCCAAAGGCCCCCTCTCCGGCAGCGACTGGATTCTGGAGTCCATCTAAGAGGGTCTCTGGAGGGACCCGCCCGTCCTGGGCCCAGGGCCAGCATTTTGCTTCTCTGGCAAGGAGGCGCCTCTGCTCCTGCCTGCGTTGAGGGAGGTCCCCAGGCACCTGGGACCAGTGGCCAGTTCCGTAGGCAGGGGCACCTGGTGGCCGTCTCTGTTGATGGCGGAGTTTCTGCTCAGGTGGTTAGGTGGTGCCCGGCGGCATCCTTGACACCCGGGGACGGGCCACTCCTGCCAGGACTCGGAGCGAGAATGTGACGGAGGGTCCCAGCGAAGATGCTCACGGCGTTTCCTGTGAGAGGACTCCGAGCTGCGGAGGCCTGACAGCTGGCGGATGGTCCGCACCCTCCGTTGCGGGGCTCGTGGGGTTCGCCGGCGAGCGATGTATTGGAACTGACACTTCACGGCACCCTTCCTTCCTTCCCGGCCTCTTTGGCAGCCTCTTCTGCTGTTTCAGGAGCTTCTGAGCCTCTTGGCGGAGTTTTATTTCTCTGTCGGCTGTGTCACTGACCGTCGGGTGACTCAGCGACAGCTCGTGACTGACAAAGCAAGCATGGCAGGTCGCACCGGCCACTACATACTCTTGTGGAAATTCGTCTCGCTCTGTGCCCGTCAGAGGAAGGAGGAGGCGGGAGGGTCTGCTGAGGGGGAACTGGGCTCCTGTCTCGTGTCACGCGCTGTGGGGGTGGAGGGCAGACGTTTCTGTTTGGAAAGATCCTGGATGTTCACTGGGATGTGAGAAAGCGGACCCCCCTCTTCACTCAGAACAGAGATCACCTCGAGCCTTAATCTATTTATTCAAAGCCTCTATGAACACGTTACACTTTGTAGATTAAAATGAGGATCAAATATGTTCGTTGAACTCTGTGGTGGTGTCTTATTTTGGCCTGAAATCAGAATCCACTTTCCTGGCTGGAATGCACTGAATCTAATCAAAAACGGGGAGGAAATGACAGTCTGTTTTCTTGCCACGAAGAGTTTGAAAGCAGCTCTGCTCCCCCGTCGGCTGCTTCTCGGACCTGTGTGTCCACTGTCCACAGTGGATCGTTCGCAGGGAGGTCTCAGGGCTGCTCGGCCTTTTTTTTTTTTTTTTTGGTTCATCCTCACTCGAGGATATTTTTCCATTGTTTTTAGAGAGAGTGGAAGAGAGAGGGAAAGACAGAGAGAAAAATTGATGCGAGAGAAACACATCAGACCAGGGCCAGGCTGGGGGGGAAGGAGCCTGCAATTGAGGTATGTGCCCTTGACCGGAATGGAACCCAGGACCTTTCAGTCTGCAGGCTGATGCTGTATCCATTGAGTCAAACGGGCTGGGGCCTATTGGGCCTTTAATACTCTAACCCCCTGCTCTTCTTCTTCCTTTTGGGGTGAAGATTGCTTTTTGGCACCTCATGGCAGAGAGGGGACGTGGAACTCCTCGGGAACGCGTGCTGGCGGCCTGTGTGTGCGGGGCCCTGCGTCGGGAACTGGGCGAGGTGCTGGGAGGAAGCGCGTTCCTGTTCATTTCCTGCGTTGAAAGGAGCAGCTCCGTGGGGGGTGGCTTTCAGTACCTGACATACTGTCCAGTGGGGACAAGAAATCGAAAGTGGTAAGACCAGCCCTAGTCAGGTTGGCTCAGTGGATAGAGTGTCGGCCTGCAGACCGAAGGGTCACAGGTTCGATTCTGGTCAAGGGTGTGTACCTCGGTTGCAGGCTGGATCCCTGGCCCTGGTTGGGGCACGTGCAGGAGGCAAGCCATTGATGTGTTTCTTTCACATCGATGTTTCTCTCCCCCTCCCTTCCCCTCTCTCTAAAAATCAGTGGAAAGATGTCTTTGGGTGAGGATTAACAAAAAAAGAGAGAAGGCCACACCATCTCCAGCCTGCCTGGACCTACTGAATTGGGCCTATTTTTTTTAAAAAAATTTTTTATTGATTTCAGAAAGGAAGAGGGAGAGAGAAACATCAACGATGAGATGAGATGGGCTGCCTCCTGCACGCCCCACACTGGGGATCGAGCCCGCAACCCGGGCCTGTGCCCTGACCGGGAATTGAACTGTGATCTCCTGGTTCATAGGTTGAAGCTCAAGCACTGAGCCACGCCGGCTAGGCCCCTACTTATTTAATTCCTCTTTTTCTTTATTCTTCTGTGTTTTACGAACAGTAAGTTATCCCCTTTCTTAACAAGGGAAAATAGGAATCCCCCACTAGACGAGGCATGCAGACCAACATAGTTCCAGGGGTTGGTCCCCCATTAGACCAGGCGTAGAGGCCAAGGTTTTAGTCCCAATGTTGCCACTATATCCTTGCGTGACCGTGAGTAAATCCCTTAGGCATCCTAAGCTTTAGTTTCTTCATATAAGACTATGATTTAAAAACTACTTTTTAGCTCAGTGGTTGAATGTCAACCTCTGAACCAGGAGGTCACAGTTTGATTCCCGGTCAGGGCACATGCCTGGGGTTGCGGGCTTGATCCCCAGTAGGGGGCGTGCAGGAGGCAGCCGATCCATGATTCTCTCTCATCACTGATGTTTCTCTCTCTCCCTTTCGCTTCCTCTCTGAAATCAATAAAAACGTATTTTAAAAATAAATAAAAATACTTTAAAAATGTTTTCATCTTTTTTTTGTCTTGTAAATATCTAAAAATATTCTCTCTTTGGCTCCTATGTACACCATGACGTTTTCCTCCAAATTTAGCTCAAAGGGCTTCAGACAGGGATAGAGAACCTTTGAACAAAAGACCCCTTGTCCGCTTCTCATGGGCCTCATTCACGTCTTACATAGGGCTCTCACATTGAGCGCTGCTTGCTGGCTCCCTGGCTCCACCAGGGGGCGCTGACAGTGTAGCCACAGTCTGATCCGTGACTGCCCACCGAATGCAGGTGCTCTTCAGTCTATGGGATATCTAAGAGGGATTTAGCTTGGCTGGTGTGGCTCAGTGCCCACCCATGAATCAGGAGGTCACGGTTCCATTCCCAGTCAGGGCACATGGGTAGCGGGCTTGATCCCCAGTGTGGGGCGTGCAGGAGGCAGCTGATCAGTGATTCTCATCACTGATGTTTCTCTCTCTCACTCTCCCTTCCTCTCTCTGAAATCAATAAAAACCTACTTTAAAAAAATAAATACATCCCTAACCGGTTTGGCTCAGTGGATAGAGCGTCGGCCTGCGGACTGAAGGGTCCCGGGTTCGATTCCGGTCAAGGGCATGTACCTTGGTTGCGGGCACATCCCCAGTGGGGGGTGTGCGGGAGGCAGCTGATCAACGTTTCTCTCTCATCGATGTTTCTAACTCTCTGACCCTCTCCCTTCCTCTCTGTAAAAAATCAATAAAATATTAAATAAATAAATAAATACAAGAGATTGGTTTAATTTTTATAGCTTCAAGTGGTTTTCCATAGAAATGCCTTGTTTGTTGTCAGTAGGCCACATCCCAATTTGGGGGGGAGGGAGGCTTGGAAAACAGACATTGTTCTAAGTACAAGCACCGCCACCAAGTGGCTGCTCTGGGATGCTGCCCCGGTGGTTTTGTTTTATTCTCACTTGGGATTCTTCTCTTTAACTGTTGGTTTCATTGTCCTCGGGGGTCAATGACAACTCCTGGAAGGAGCCCTTCACAGTCTGACCTTCACACGAGTTCCTGGAACCACTGAAAACACGACCGATGCCGCCCTGCCCGCCGTGCTGTGTACGCAGCTCCGTGCACACGTCCCCCGCTCCGCCCTCAGGACTCGGGGTGCACTGCTCCTCTCCCGGGGATACCGGGAGGTTCCTGCCGTCCCCGCTCCTCTCGGAAGGTTCCTACTCTAGGACCCTTACTTACCCTTCACAGCACTCATCCCACGGGACTGCAGTTAGCTACCCTCCTCTCTAAACCCGTCACTACACACAGGGCCAGGCCTTCCTCGCCCCTGCATCCCAGGGTCTGACACACTGACAGTGGGTGCTCAGTAGTATCTGTTTAATGAATAGATAATGAGTGAAAGAACAAATGAGTGAGACAGGAAGAGAGAAAAGGGGAGAGGTAACACTTATTTAGTAACAGCTTCACTGAGGTAGAATCCATTCCTGTAAAGTGTACAGTTCAGCTGTTTTTAGTTAGTTATTTCTGGGTCAGGTAATCTGCAAGGTAACTTACAGGGAAAGATACTGAATTGGAGATTGACAAAAGCTTAGTTTTTTTCTGACTTTATTAAGAGAGAAGTTATAAGAATACAAAGTATTATTTTAAATATGTTATTTAAAGTCAGTAGCATACATTTAAATGAAAAGATACAAGCATGCAGATAGGAATGAGACAGATTTTTATGAATCTGAATGCATGTTCCTCTCTTCATTTAAATGCTTACCTGCAGTGTCTACAACGTGTCAGTCTTCGCTGGCGCCCCTCAGTCCTGCAGCAATTCCGTGTGTGTGTGTGTGTGTGAGGTTCCTGTGCGAGTCTGACCGTGCATGTGGTTTTGTTGTCTCCTGTAGGTGGGGTGAGGGCTGAGGGGTGGCAGGGTTGGGGTTTCGAATGCCATGACCATCGCTTTCTTTCCAGGCAGTCTATCTAAATCTTGGGTTCACTTTACTCAACAGGAATGAGGAGTTCGGTTGTATTTATGTCTTCTCTTTTTCAGATGGAGCTGGCCATGCCACAAGTAGTAAAGAATAAAACTGTGGATATAAAAGAAGCATTTGGAACAGCACGTTCTGCTGAAATGATATCAATAAACACTTACTAGGGCAGGCCCTGTTCTATGGGAGGCAGAGTAACCCGGGCCTGGACTCTCTGGGCACCGAACTTGACCTGGTTTGAGGGAGTCAGGCACAAACACGGGGAATTGTAATGTAAGACATGAACAGGGATAAGACACGAGCTAATGTAATGGAGGATAAAGGGCTGTCAAAGACAGGTGACCTTATTTTTCTCACCGGAAGTCATAGTGGGGGCACAGTGTCCACCATGGGGGCAGCCCCACAAGATCCGGGACACAGGGCTGCTGCCCTGCTGGGCCCTGGGCCCTGGGGGTGGGAGGGAGGGAGCAGATGGTTGGAAAGGGTGGGGGAAGGTGTCGCTGGGACCGACTGACTTCTGAGTCTGAGGTCCTCGCAGGAGTTAGTGGGACCGGGGAGTCAGGGAAATTGTGAGGACAGGGCTCAGATGTGGATGTCACTGAAGATGACAGCAGTGAAGGGCCCCGTGAGGCACGCCCTAACGCCCTGGAGGCAATCGTGTGTGTGTGTGTGTGTGTGTGGGGGGGGTCCCGTAAGGGCCTCCTTAGTCACGGTGACATCTGTCTGCCTGGGGAGGGACGCCTGTGTGAGTGTTGTACCTCCTCAGAAGTCTTGCGACTTGTAGCCGGCGCAGTCGCTTCCGATGTCCCACTCCATCCTCCTGAAGAAGTGGACCATGGCGCTCTCCGCCAGCAGCCCGCACACGATGGCCACGAAGGACAGCTTGCGGCGGGTGTTGAGCGTCACTGCAGAAGCAAAGGCGCACGACACGGGTAAGTTTTCCGAGTGGAATGACGTGACCTTGTCATTATTACGTGAGACGTAGATTACGGGGTATGAAGGGGATCGTTTGGTGAAGCTGTTTTTAGAAAAACTCTTATTTGTTCTTATTAACTTATGCTGCTACCTACTCCCCCTTTCCCAGCTGCAAACCTTTTGAGAGAACCAAAGCAGCGGCTCATAACAAAAATACTCCTGAAATCAAGACACAGATTCCCATTAAAATTAAAAGGGAAAAGAAAATACAGATTCTAAGGTCATCAAGGAAATAGAAGAAAAAATGTGTACTTTTGGTTTTACAGGTGACAAGATGATAAGCACTATGATAAAAAGTATCAGGTAATAGCTCATTTATTTTATTTATTTATTTTAAAAAAATAT